TACAGAGGCTCGTGTTTTTATTTTCACTTTTACGCTACCTTAAATGCTATCTTAACTGTATAAAACCTGCTGTATCATATTTAATACATACATTTATGATACAAGTTATCAAAACGTTGCTGTTAAATGAGTCACACTCAATCTGCTCCATGTCTTCTATCTTCTGATTGATAGTTTAGAGTTTTTTATCCAGTAAAAGGAAAAAACTGCTTCTCGTGTCTTTCTGCTGTCAAATCTTGACTGACCATCAATTCAAACTTGTAGGACCTTCTTTCTTCTGCGCAAAACAGATGTTTTGAAGAATGTTGACAACCAAGCCATTTTGGTGACCATAGGCTTTGTACAGAAACACTGAGATGATGAGGAAATGAATGATCACTTTAATCAGGAGGGGTGAGATGTGATGTGATGCTAATGATCATTGTGTCTGTCCACAGGAAAGCATTATCTGAGCCTCCACTCGGTCAGAGCAGCAGCAGTGGACAGCATGTGGTGTATGAGACTGTGTGTGCAAAGACAGGTGAGGAAACACACACACACTTTCTGTGATTGACCGTGTGTGTACTGACTGGCAGGTTTAGTATTCTGTGTACAGTGTGTAGTTCAGCCTCTGGTATTTTAATGAGGAACCTTGGCAGCGGGGACATAGTGACCATTCCAGCGTTTGGTTTGATGTGTGTGAGCTGCTTTTTCTGTCTGGTGTTGGTGAGTAGACCTGTGTGAACATGAGCGGAGTGTCTGATCCACTGACAGCTGCTGTGACTCCAACAGTGCCATGACTGCTGTCATATGAAGCTCCGTCATACGCCATGCATTATTCATGCACAGGTGAGATTTGGTGCATAGAAGCTTTTAGCGTCATTATGCTGATTTCAGGGATTTGATTGGCTGGGTGTGAATTATTAAAGCTTAAACACACATTCTGAGTCGTACTGTAGTATCATTCTGAAGAGCTGTTTTTGAAGGAAGTCTCTTCTGCTCACCATGGCTGCATTTATTTCAGCAGAAATACAGTAAAAACAGTGGTATTGTGAAATAATTTTGCAATTTTAAAGTAAGTGTCCTCTATTGAAGTCTGTTTCCGCCACTGAATAAAAATTTCAAAAGGTAATTGTGACTTGTCACATTTCTCGTATTTCTGACATTTTTTCTCAGAATTGCATAATATAAGTCAGAATTGCAAGATATAAACTGTTTTTTTCAATTATGAATTTATATCTCGCAATTCTGACTTCTTTTCTCAGAATTGTGAGATATAAGCCCGCAATTGAAAAAAAGTCAGATTTGTGAGATATAAAGTCAGTTACTTTTTTTATTCAGTGGTGGAAACAGGCTTCTATAGTTTTCTCTTTTAATGTATTGTAAACTGTAATTTATTCCTGTGATGTAAAACTGTATTTTCAGCATCATTCCTCCAGTCTTCAGTGTCTCATGATCTTCAGAAATCAGTATAATATGCTGATCTGCTGCTCAAGAAACATTTCTGATTATTATCAATGCTGAAAACAGTTGCCGAATACGTTTGTGATACATTTTATATTTCAGGATTTACAGAGGAATTGAAAGTTCAAAAGAACAGCATTTATTTGAAATAAAAATATTTTGTAACATTATAAATTTCACTTTTGATATATTTAATGTGTCCTGTTGAATAAAAGTATTCATTTCATTGGGCTGCTTTACATGGACTGCACCTGAGAGCAGCAAATTAGCATGAAGTAACTTGAAACAGATACAGAGTAGGAGTCTTTTATCAGGTGATACTATTCAGAGCCTGTAAAACACTGTTGCGTGTCCTTTGGCGCTGTTAAACAGACGTCGTCTGTCCATCAAGAACTGTGTGAATTTGACAGATGCAGTTTTCCGTTGTTCACTGGAGAGCAGTAGAGGACTGAGAGCCGCTGTTGTTTTAGCTGGGCTCTGATGGACTCTGACTGGGAGTTAGCGCTGATCCATACGGCTGCATTCTCTGAGATCAGACGTCGATACACATCAGCGTCGCCTCCTCTCATCTCGCTCAGTTAGCCGCAAACAGCCCTCTATTGTTGTCATGTTTTTCCTCGTCTTTGTTTTCACTTGACCTCATCTCACACAGATTCCTGCCAAACGCTTTGGCTGGATATTCACTCTGCATTTTCAACCTTTGGCTCAATACTGGCTCAGATATCTGAAGAAGTTTGCTGAAGAAGCTGAAGTCTGTTTTGAGATGAGTCTGATGTGTGCTGCTGACATGCATCTGCGTACGAGTCAATCACACGAACACGCGTCGAGGGCACGTTCCACCACAGAACCATGAATGGAATACAGTTTTTACTGCTAACAGGTAAAACAATAATGCAACAATATAAGTCTTTACTATAATTTTTTAAATCAATTTAACACATTCTTTGCTGAATTAAAGTATTAACTTCTTTCAAAAAAGAAAGAAAAAAAAACATACGACCCCAAACTTTTGAACGATAGTGTAAGTTGTTACAAAAGAGTTCTATTTTGTATATATGCCTTTCTTTTTAACTTTTTTTTTTAATAATATATCACTGTTTCCACAAAAATATTGTGCAGCACGACTGTTTTCAACATTGATGATAATCAGAAATGTTTCTCGAGCAACAGATCAGCATATTATACTGATTTCTGAAGATCATGTGACACTGAAGACTGGAGGAATGATGCTGAAAATACAGCTGCACATCACAGAAATACATTACAGTTTAACACATATTCTCATAGAAAACAGCTGTTTTAAACTGTAATAAGATCTCACAATATTACTGCTTTTGCTGTATTTTTCAATGGAGTATAAGACACTTTTTAAAAAACATTAAACATCTTAAAACATTTGATCAATATACATACATACATGCGCGCATACATATATATATATATATACGTATATGAGCCATTCTACAGAATTGGTCCAAAGTCAGAGTTGAAAACGCCTTGAAAAAAATGCCTTTTTCCAAAAAAAGTTGTGTTTTATGTATGCAAATTGTATAATATCCAAGGTACACATTTCTAGTATAAAGTTTTGGAATATTTGTCCCCTCCCCAATTTGTGACTACCGAAACACAGTAATAATAATTATGCATTATTGTTATATAGGGTTATATTGACCTATTAAGATTTAGCTTGCATATAGATTGTAAAAAAAATTTTTTTTGCTATTTTTTCAAAGGTAAATCAATAATGAAATTTTTAACAATATTTCAATTGTAATTTATGAGGGTTGTTGTATTTTGAATCCAAATTTTTCTTTGTAAAAGGCAAAAAGTTGATCATACTGATTTCAAAGTTAAGGATTCATTAGTTTGAATATACATTGAACCATTCAGTATACTTTATTTTTGACAAAACATCCCATGTTTCGGTAGTGACAGCACATTTTCGGTAGTGACAGTAATCCTTTGGTAGCAACCACATCACATTACAGAATTTTACAAAAAATGCAGGATCATCACTCTTCATGTATGACGGTACGATTGAGTTACTTAATAAACACCATCAAACCGATGAAAGCTTCGGATCTTCCAGTGTTTCTCTACAGCGCTGAAACCTACAGATGTCCGAGTTCAGAACCGCTTGCAACTGATACTCCACTGCCATTGGCTCATCTGCGTTCGAGGGGAGGGGCTTACGATAGGTCAATTCTATGAGATAACACCCAAAAAAAACAAAGATGTCACTACCGAAACGCCACCAAATGTTTCGGTAGTGACCGTTTCAGTAGTGATGATTTTAGATACTTTTGAACCTAGCTCAAAGATGCTAATCAGCACATGGTTAGCTAGCACAGTTCTGAACAGTGGTATACATATAAAAACTAAATGTTATGGAATAACTCCCAAAAAAGCATGCTTAATTGCAGAAAAAGGTGTTCGTAGTGACGTTACTTAAAGTTACACACACTTTTGAATGCATTTACCTCAAAATGAAGAGACCTATCTACTCGCACCTTGTAGCTATGAAAGAGGAATATTTCCTGATCATAAACTTAAGGGTTTAGTTAAAATCGGTCTCAGCCAATAGACTAAAACGTACACTGTTTCGGTAGTGACATGAAAAATGCGGGACACATTTTTTTACATAAAGTTTCATGATTTACAAAGAAAATATAAAATAAATATTGTTTTTGTACTTCATTTAAAAAAATACAAAAAAAAAGTTGAAATGTAGGGGTTAGGGTTTCGGGACAGCCACCTCCCAATTGAAAGTACCCAGTAAATGATAATTATATATATATCAAGCTTTCTAATATTTTGAATATTATTGTGGGTTTCAATAGATAATAGTAGGGTCTTAATAAACATCTAAGATTTGAATACTTTAATGCTTTTTAAATGTGTTTTTTGGTTGTTTGACAGCAGTTTGCACCAATTCTGTAGAATGGCCCATACACACACACACACAAATAGTTTTATAACATTTTTAAAAATTCTTATGGTTCTAAAATAATTTCTTCTCTCTCTGTTTTGATTTTGTGGTTAACTGTGACCCGCTCATGTATTCGCTCAGGTGTATTTGACTTTGAATACATCAGTCAGAGACACTCAGAGGACAGTAGCTTTAAAAAAAGCAGTATCTTCATCCTCCCGCTCTTCACTCCGTCATCTCTCTGAGCTCCCAGCGGTCGAGTCACTGGATTGGAAGCCATGTGCGATATTTTCGTGCTCCTGTGCCGTAAGGCCTCATGGTGTAAAAGAGCACCAAAATAAACAGCGTTTATGAGCATCCATATTACTAGTGTGTTGGCTGTTTATTAGTGCTTACAAAGCACATATTATTCACTTAATCCTACCCCCTTAACGACTACCTCAACTTTTAATAAGCAGTTTTCTTAAGCAAAAGTCATAGTTAATAGCTAGTTAACAGTGAGAATTAGTCCCCGAACTAAAGTGTGAGCGAAAAACATGCCGTGTAAAGTTGTGACGGTTGATTATTTGTATGTCAAGCATTGCAAAAAGTATCATTTTTATTTCACAGATTGAAAACACCTTTGAAATTATTGGTCTTGAGGAACGCAGCAGGGGGAAGCGGACGCCTCGGGGTTCAGCGTGTTGTACAGGCTCAGCAGCTGCAGAAAAACCAGGAGGCGCATTGTAATGCCTTGTCCAAATAGAGACAGATCGCATTTAGGCCATGTCCACACCGGGGGAGGGGGGGACAATCCAACGCTCTCCATTGACTTTGTATTGCGGGAAGCTGCCTCCTTGTCATTTCTGACATATAACAAAAAACTGAACAATGCCTAAAAGCTGCTGCGTGACAAGGTGCACAGTAAACAAGCTAAAAAACCCAGAACTATGTTTTTATAAGCTGTTGACCCAAAAAACAAGCATTTAAGGACACAAATAGTTGTAGATGTCAGGGTATTTCACGTTGGGCTGTTCAGTTGGATCATTTCTCAAACAAAAGGAAGGTTAGGAAAAGGGGCACTGACATAGACCAATAAAATTTAGTTTCTTAATATATCTGCTCCTCTCAGGTTCACATCGGGTGGTGAATTAACCCTTTGACATGGTTAAAAATAATAAATGGTTCCTGTCACCGATTACGTTGCCCTCCAGCGGGTGCAGTTCTCCGAGTAATATGACACGTTGCGCTCTACTTTTGTGTTCTTAAATGCTCGTTTTTTGGGTCGACAGCTTATAAAAACGTAGTTCTGGGTTTTTTAGCTTGTTTGCTGTACACCTCGTCACAGCAGCTTTTAAGCATTGCTCTGTTTTTTGTTACAAGTCAGAAATGACAAGGTGGCAGCTTCCCGCTATACCTCTGATGCCACCAAATCAGCTATATTACTGAATAATAATAGTCATCAATTAATATTCAAATGAATCATTTACTCACCCTCGTGTAGTTCTAAACCTGTATGACTTTCTTACATGGAACACAAAAGATTAATCACGCACATTATTGATTTTGATGTTTCAGTTTTTACTGAAACAACAAAATCTAAATTAAAGTTTTTATTTAGCTGAAAACCGAAAGTGGAAACAATGTTTTGGTAATTCACTTTGGGTAATTGGGTTATTGAACTGTTTATGCTTTAATGTCAACACATGTAATATGCCAGTCCTAGTAAAGTTCTTTGGCAACAATCCACCTCTTGATATTTCAGCCAAATCAATTCTACACATTGCTAGTCTAGCATCATTTTTGTTATGCTGACGTGTACTAAATAAATGCTAAAACGGTCTAAATGTGCCATCAGAGAAGCTGTTTTCGGACTTCTAGAACTATTTTTAAACTGTTGAAACTACTAATTCATCCTTTTGTAGCTGTTTTAGCCAATTATTCTTAGTTTTTGGTTGCTGAAAATTTGGTGCATCACATGTTCATGCCTCCATTTTCAATACAATGAGTGGAAATAGAGACAGAGTCAAGAATCTGAAAAGCACCATAAAAATAGTCCATATGATTTTTTTTCTTTCATCTGAAGCCTTCTTAAGTCCTGTGATGATGCTTGTGAGGAGCAGACTGAAATTTAAGGTCTAAAATGACCAGTGACATAATGGTAATGGTATTGCATATAATGTAGCTCTCAAATCTCATTTGAAATTCTTAAATCTTAGAATGGCTGTGATCAGATACGAGTTGCACAAGAACCGATGCCACTTGGCATCATTGACCTCTCGTCTAATGTGATGTGTCTTGAAGCAGCAAATTTATATGTATGCAAACACAAAGTGGAAGATTTTCCATGAATAATGGCTGTTTCTCACACAAAGCATCATGTGACTTGAGAAGACAGTGTCTTGATCTGGTGGTCCTGGTCTCAAGACATCTTGGTCTGAGACTCAAGGGTTTAGTATTTAGCCTAAACCTCTATGTGTATGGTGCATTTTTGGACATGTCTTTCCATTTAATTTATTGTATTGCAAAGAGCAGCTTGGGCATTCTTCAGACAATCTCCTTTTTTCCATGAAAGAAAGGCACGTGTTAAAGCGACATGAAGGTTAGTAAAGGTGTGAAGGAGACTCTCACCGAGCTGTGCGTGGTGTCAGCGCTGCGGAGGTATGGGCACGGCCCGGAGCAGAAGTTGGCATGATACCCTTTCGGCTCATGGATCCACCTCCAGCCCAGATCCTGCCGGAAGTCGATGTACAGCGGCCGAACGCAGCAGTTCTCCTCGTAGTTTCTGAAAGCAGAAGGAAAGCCGTCACTTTCTCCACCTGCCCGTTCACACCCTGGCGTGGATTCTGCATTCATTCAGAGATGTTTCCATGCACTTTTCACTTGGATGTTTCGGAGACTTCTATTTCGGTTCTGTATGGCCTTATAAACATGTCAGACAATCTTTTGAGGCTCAGAAATTCCACTGTAAGGTGTGTCATTTTTTCCCTCCTGGATTCGACCCAGGTGTGGAGTGCTAACAGAGTGCCACACACTAAGGAGCCAGTGTACTACATAGCATACTGAGACAAATCCAAACTTGCAAGCCCTTGCAGAACCTCCCAGACGCTTCGAGCCGTCAGGTGCCAATTAAAAAGTTAATTCCCAAGGGGAAAATCTCTCTAGACACATGAGGTACGCTGCTGCTTACTGCAACATGAAGCAGGGATGAGAATACGTATTTTAAAGGTCTTGCCATCTTTGAGAAGAAAGCAGATCAAATTCACCTTGCATTCCTACCTACAGATTAACATTTACGTTAATGCATTTGGCAGACGCTTCTATCCAAATTACGCTTTTCATAGTTTATCAATGCATGCATTCCCCGGGAATCAAATCAACGACCGCAGCTTCAGATTCGCAATGACGGGATCAGTACACACAGTTATTCATAAATTATGTTTTGGATTTTTTCACAATGTACAAAGTGCTGCAGTGATTCATTTAGTGAGAATTTTTGCAGGCCAACCCATAAGTTAGTATCAACCTGGTTCCCTCCACAAAAACCCAAGAGGATTTTTCCATTGTGTGTTGGATTATTGCAGAAAATAAGCTCCGAGACTAACCACTTTGCAATTTGAATTAGAATTTAAGCCTCAATACTACCAGAAGTGAAAAGCTAAACATAGGCTATAAATAAACTACTGCACGGGTCGGTCACATGACTTCACGTCACCGCCATTACTCTTCAGTCTTTATTTAAAAACAATTTCCCTGAAGGTTTGCGTTAGAATGGTTTGCATGAGCGAGATTATAAACATATTGAGGCTGTGAAAGTGACTAGAGATCAAATGAGATTACCTGTTCAAGTGACACCACCAGCATCCCACTATAGTCTCATTTAGACACTTTAGCAACTGCCTTTTTCCAAGACAAGTAAAAGCTTTCAAAATATTTTGGGAATATGTTTACCTCGTGTTCATCACGGACCTTATTTCAGACATTTAACCAAAAACCCATTGACTTCAATACTATGGAACCAAAAGTGCTAAAATGTTTCTAGTTTGTCTTACAAAAATCCCTGCAGCACTCTATTTTGTGTGAAATTGATCCAAAATTAGGTCTGAAGGCATCATAAGTAAGTTATCTAGCTTTTGTAACAACCTTCATGTCAGCGTAGCCAAGTTTCTGACTAATCATCTAAATCCTACATTTACTCCAACCTTGATCAAACTCACCTGCCTGTAACTTTCTAGGAATCCTGAAGGCCTCGTTTAGCTTGTTCAGGTGTGTTTGATTAGGGTTGGAGCTAAACTCTGCAGAAAACTCTGGACCAGAACCCTTGATCAAAATAATGGTTTCACTTATATGCATCAAATGCTGTTTGGCCTTCAATGTAATTATTTCACAAAATCAGCTAATTGTATGTTTGTTGAGAAAGTCAAATGCCTACTAGTGCATATGTTGGTGCCAAGTGGCAACCTCCCCGTCTCACTCTTGAAACCAACACGGAAGTGACTAAAACTGCAATTCATCGAGTGGGAGTCCAGACCCATAGACACCCCATGTTAAAAAGCCCAACTTTGCATCAGAAAAAAGCCTGGTACAAAAAGTGGTACATAATTTTGCCCTTCATGACAACTATGAGGGGTGAATTTTTTTTTTATAACTCAGTTTAAATTTTATTAAACTGTAAAGTTCTACATAATTAAGGGCGTGGCCACTTGAGTGACAGGTGGATTGCTGCTGCTGTCACTGCCGTCGAGCTAGGCTGGCGTGGTTTCTGCAACCAGCCACCTCAGCTCCACCCACGTCCCGCCTCTTTGCTCATTTTCGATTATCCGGGAGTGACGTGCGGTGACACGCTGCCAAGTTGGGCTTTAAAAAATTATCTTTAGAATCCTACGGGTGACGTCACGTACACTACGTCCATGTTGGACGTACAGTCTATGGTTGGTGCTGTCTGCTTAGATCTATAGAAGGCATTTGACATAGTTGACCACCAGGTTCTTTTAGCTAAATTAACAATAGTTTGGATAAAATCATATCTTTCAAATAGTCAACAATGTATATTGATGGTACGAAATTATATTACCTTGATTTCCCCTAGGGGGTTCCACAAGGCTCTATCTTGGGACCTATTATATTTTCACTTTATATTAATGATTTACCTGGAGTATGTAAAAATGTAAATCTTCAGTTGTATGCAGATGATGTAGTCATTTTTACCCATGCGAATAATTGTGAGGAAGCATTGATTACCTTGACTTCTGCTATGACAAATGTTTAGCATTGGCTTACCAAATCAGGTTCACTATTGAACACAAAAAAACTGTTTACATGATGTTTGCAAAACAAACCGTAGAGATGACACATTCAAAGATATTCCTGAGAGGGGAGAAGCTTTAAATTGATAAAGAGTTAACGTATTAAGACAATGTTCCACTTATCATACTTTTAAAAATCACTTTAGTAAGTGGCTTATGACAAATCAATAGTGTAACCGTTTTACCTCGAAATTTTAAATAATGTGTTTGGGGTATTTTGTTTTCTGTGTGACCTCTGCATGTATGTTTGTGCACCTGCCTAGGGACTGTGGATGTAAATTAGCAATGTTGCTATAATCCGGGTTGTTTACATTCTGTATTTTACACAAATGTTCCTTTACATGCATTGTCCCTATCAAATAAATACACAAACAAACAATAAGCCCCTGTGGTGCATTTAATTGTCTAGGTAGGCAGTTCAGTAATTTTTGGAATAGGGCTGCAGTTTCAGTCAGCTTCATTTTTATTAGTATGTTGAAGAAATGCTTACGAGAAGCAGTAGTTGGTGTCCAGCGCACGTTTGCGTCGTCTAGAGGTGGGCGGCACGTCCAGCCGGTGTGGCGGCAGCATCATCAGGATCAGATGAGGGAGAAGCTGCTCCTTCTGCTTCTTTAGTCGACCCAAATCCCAGCGGTTCTGCTCCTCGTACTCGCTGTCCATCCCTGAGGACACAGCAGAAGCACAGTCAAACTAGAACTGACAGACAGGCTCACATTAGAAACCCTAAAGCCTGGCTCAGGAATAATAATTAAGAGAACGTTTTCACCCTAATACAATCTGATGTTCATCAGACTTCTGAACACTGTTGGAAAGACTTTGACGTCCAATTCAGTTCTATTCAATTCCAACGTGACAGCTGCCAGATGAGGAATCCAAAACTACCTCCTTAATTTTAATAAACACAAACAGTGAGACGCACGAGGATCTACAGGCATCTTCTTTGTGATGTCATTTCAAGTTCTATGTTTACTTGTTGCACAACTTGCATAAAATGCCTTGCACATTGGCGAAGCCACACTGACTTTTGATTTTGACCAAATATTGTTGCTTTTTTGCCTGTTTGAGTTACGGAAGTCTTTTAATGAGACTTTTTATCTTTACAATCTCAGGGCAGTCTCAAATTGAATTTCAACGTCCGTTTGTATGAAATGCACTTTTATTTATGCAGAATGCATAAATAAATAAATGAGGTGGCATCATCATGCTTACTTCGAAGCACTCAAGCACATAATTTCACAGAGTGTCTGATGTGCACTGCACACATTAAACAGAAAGAGCTTTCGCAAAACAAAACCAATCTTTACGCAATTTCTCAATGCGCTCAGGTTTCTAGTCGTGATACAGCGAGCTCTTCTGAGAAACAACCAGTCACTGGAGTTGACAAATTTCCCACAACCATACAGTCTGCCTTGCCTGAAAAGCATTGCTTGCAAAATAATAGATGGAAATTCTGACATCTACACACGTTTTCCAGTTTTGTGTCAGAACCTGTGTCTCGCTGCAATGTGGACCAGATTTCACGCTGGCGGTCTGGATTCAGCTTCAGCAGCACTTATTCCTGTAGAGAAGTGGGAGCGTTCCTGAAGCCCGGCACAGACGGCAGCTCTCCGTCTCCTGGAGCATCTGCGTTTTCAATCTGTTTGTGATTGCAAAAGCAGCTTGGGTCCCAGGAGAGGCATTGCCCGTAGATACGGACACCCCTCTTTCATTGAGGGCCAAGAGTCTGAGTGCCCGCAGTGGCAGCACATTCCCAAAACCCCAGACACCCCGAGGCCCCCAGAACTAAGCGAGTTTCCATACGCCAGAGCATTCCCATGATCACAGCGTCTGACCACTGCTGGACGGAGCGCTGAGGCCTTTATCTCAGCAGAACGCGCGTGCGTGCCATCACATCACATCACATCACATCACATCACATCACATCACATCACATCACATCACATCACATCACATCACATCACATCACATCACATCACATCACATCACATCACATCACATCACATCACATCACATCACATCACATCACATCACATCACATCACATCACATCACATCACATCACATCACATCACATCACATCACATCACATCACATCACATCACATCACATCACATCACATCACATCACATCACATCACATCACGGAAGAAGCCTGAGAAACTGAGCAATCGTCATACTGTACGCTGTAAAAAGATTATTGGAATACGTTTTACAAGATAATACTATTTCAGTCTTTCTACTAAAAAAATTTAATGTTTAATTCAATGTGTTACTTGCCATTTCTTTGGAATTATTTGTTGACAATTTCTAAGTGAAGTGTGTTTCAAACACCAACTGATCCTGCAGCAGTTTTTTTCAGTGTATTACATCTTAGAAATAAACAGTAAGGAGAGTCTGCAGTACCACAATCAGCTCTAATTGTCACCTTAACCCAGATGTTATAATTATAGCAGATGAACTTTTTTAAGCTTTAATTGGTGTGTAATGTTACTGTTTGAGCATAAAAAAAAAGATCTGCAAGATTACAAAGCTCAAAGTATATATTCTCTATAACCAGTGTTGAGGAAAGTTACTTTTAAAAGTAATGCATTACAATATTGCGCTACTCCCTATAAATGTAACTAATTGCGTTGCTTAGTTACTTTTTATGGAAAGTAATGTGTTACATTACGTTACTTTTTCTGCCCTGCCCTGGGCTGGGCTTGCTTTTTGTTTTTAATATAAAAAGTTATATTTTTTGGCAAATGTAAAAGACTTTTTACACCAAAAGCAAAACGAATGCGCCTCAGGCTGAAGGAAATGTTTATTCACGTCTGTACAGTAGAGGGCGCAGCTCAAACAAACCTTTCAGCGGTGCTGCCATTCTGGATTGCATGAAGAACAGGACGCAAGAGAAGAAAGTTCAACACTCTTCAGCAAAAACAATTTAACATTTTCTGTTTACCTAAAGTAATTTTTTCGTATTAGTATGGCTGAATGGGATCTCTGAAGGTCAGAAGCAAAGACACTGGTTAATAAAATGGGATTGAATGCATAAATTATATTTGTCTCATTTAAAGGGATAGTTCACCCAAAAATGAAAATGAAATATTTATCTGCTTACCTCCAGGGCATCCACAATGTAGGTGACTTTGTTTCTTCAGTAGAACACAAACGGAGATTTTTAACTCAAACCGCTGAAGTCTGTCTGTCATATAATGTAAGTGGATGGGAATCACGGCGTCTTCTTACGGCAGATTGCAGACTTATAAGTACATTACCGCCACCTATCTCTCCTAATTGAGATTGTAGATAGAGTGGCAATGGTCCATTTGAGAAATAGGTGGCGGTAATGCACTTATAAGTCTGCGATCCGCTGTAAAGCAAGAAGAAGAAGACGTGTCACGCGCAGGCTGAAGAAGAAGATGCGAATGCGCTCGGGACAGGTCAGACATTGCGGTGAAAATGAGAGGTAAAAAACGATATAAATACTGTTCAGTTTCTTGCACAGACCGATCGTTTTGTGTCTTTACACATCAATGTATCGTCACGAGCCGCAGGGTTTAATTTGGTTTTGTTTGTGTATGTTTTATGACTCAAAGCCGTGATTCCCATCCACTTACATTATATGACTGACAGACTACAACGGTTTGAGTTAAAAATCTCCGTTTGTGTTCTACTGAAGAAGCAAAGTCACCTACATCTTGGATGCCCTGGGGGTAAGCAGATAAACATCACATTTTCATTTCTGGGTGAACTATCCCTTTAACATATTTAATTATTGCAGGTTTGTATAATATTCTGAGTTTGCATTTGACAGTTTTTATTGATTGTGAGGAGCACTGAATGTGTTTGTGTGCAGTGAGATGAGTAAACACATGTTGATATTTAGTCTAGAGCTACAGTAAGATCATGTTCACACACAACGCTCTGCACTGACTCCTGATTTCTGTCACCGTGGCAACACCAGAGCTGTCACTCAACACATGGAAACAAAGTAACTGGCATTACTTACAGTATTTGAAAAAGTAGCTCAGATATTTTCTTGTAAGTTAAAAAGTGATGCATTACTTTACTAGTTACTTAAAAGTAATCTGATTACATAATTTGTGCTACACTGTCTTTACACAGAAAACACTTTTTAAGAACTACGACAATTCAGACTACAACACGCTTCTTCCAGATCTTGTGAAGTCACAATGTCACTCTGACTCAATAATTTTAATATCTCCACCCACAGAATACGCAACAAAGGGGACGAGGCCTGGTTGAGCTGCGCTAGAAACATCCTATAAAACCTGCACTTGAAAGGGTTCTCCACAGTCCTCTTGTTCATAAACACTCTCAGGTTCTGAATCGGACTCAAATTCATATGGCAAAATTGGCGCCATTGTTAATATTTACGGATGAAACGCTCAGTTATTGTAAGGGGCGTGTCATTTCCAGAACACGCTCTAAGCAGTTCACCAATCACAACACACTGGGCCAGCTAACCAATCAGAACACATTTTGTATTTCAGAAGGCGGAGCTTCATCGATACAGGAATTAACAGCGTGTTTTTGAGACCGACTGTGAAGAGAGTTGCACCAATAATGTAAAATATGTGAAAAATAATGCTTTTTTTTGGAACAATCAAACATGAAAATGTATTCTAGTACACCTCAAAAACTGAATCAAGGTTTTGTAAAAGGGCAAAATAGGACTCCTTTAGAAGAAAAAACATCAATTAGAAAGCTGTTGCATGTTGGATATGTTTGTTCTCAGCATTGGTTTTCTCCACTCACCTTTGAATCTGACCTCCAACACCTCGTTGACGTTCTCAATGATGTCTCCGTTGGGGCTGAACGTGTGGCACGGGCAGTGAACGCTGACCTCCAGGCCGAGGTTGGTCTCTGAGCAGTGGAACAACACACAGATTTGGGATACGGTTTCTCCACAAACATCTCGTTCCAGTTTCTATGTGTGTTTGGATATTCACAGCCTAAACAGCATCTTTGGGCAAATGCTACTCGCAGTATTTTAGCCCACATGAGACACTGGCCAAAATATTTTAATAAAAACTGCTTCTGCATTACTAAACACTGTTAAAGTAACGGTAACTTCATAAGGAGCTGGAACTGTGCGATTCTTTTTCTGTAGGTTTCTGAACCTTTCTAACATGGGTTTTCAAATTGTCATCATTTTTCATAATGCATGCAAACTCATCTTTGGTCATTCATTGCATGCATTTTCCTACACAGATTGAATCTTTAGTGACTCTAGTGATTCAGTACAGTGATAAGATTTTCAAATGATTCTTCCTTTTATATAAGACAGTGTGTGGTGCAGTTTATCTCATTACAACACATGAAGCTGTCTCTGTGTGGTCAGAAGCACTCATCACAACTCAACTCGGGGATTTTTTTTATTTGTACTTGCTCTGCCAATGTTCTCACTAATTATAGCGACAGCTGTAAATTCATACACACGCCTTTGCTGGAAGGCCACAGCATACAGTGAAAAACACTGATATGTTTATTATTTTAATGGACAGTGTATGTCATTATGATATATTACTTCAACCTCGATGTTAAAAAAAGGATTATTGGAGTAAGTTTTTACAAGCAAGTCTTTCTACTTTTTTATTTTATTTATTTATTTATTTTTTTTAAGTAAAGCCTACGCCAAGGTTTTTTGTTTTTTTTAGCACAGCTAACATAAGCCTATTAACAACAACTACAACAATCTAAAGTACCTGATGCAAACCCAAATGTGTTACATTTACATGACATAATGCACATGTATCTGATTCAATGTCTACATACATTATGCAGTTTATCTCATTACAACACATGAAGCTGTCTCTGTGTGGTCAGAAGCACTCATCACAACTCAACTCGGGGATTTTTTTTATTTGTACTTGCTCTGCCAATGTTCTCACTAATTATAGCGACAGCTGTAAATTCATACACACGCCTTTGCTGGAAGGCCACAGCATACAGTGAAAAACACTGATATGTTTATTATTTTAATGGACAGTGTATGTCATTATGATATATTACTTCAACCTCAATGTTAAAAAAAGGATTATTGGAGTAAGTTTTTACAAGCAAGTCTTTCTACTTTTTTATTTTATTTATTTATTTATTTTTTTTAAGTAAAGCCTACGCCAAGGTTTTTTGTTTTTTTTTAGCACAGCTAACATAAGCCTATTAACAACAACAACAACAATCTAAAGTACCTGATGCAAACCCAAATGTGTTACATTTACATGACATAATGCACATGTATCTGATTCAATGTCTACATACATTAGTTCATATATTAACAGGACTGACCTCTGTACCTTTATGTAATGCTGTAATAGCGTTTGATAAAGGTTTGCTTACCTCTATACATGAGCCACTCCCGTACGGTCTCAGTGACGTCAAAGGAAACCCACTCCGGCGTTCCTTTAGTCAGAACGTTCTTGCCAACGATGTAACGCTGCTTAGCGATGTGTTCATCGGGACGAAGAATCTACCAACAGACACGCCACACCTGAGTTTAGAACTAGTTCCATATGCCATCATCATTAGCAAACAACTTTAAAGGGATAGTTCACCCAAAATCACCCTAAAAAAGTGTTCTCGTAGCTTCGCATAATTAAAATTGAGCCACTGATGTCTGGGAACATTTCAGTTGTGTTGCTGTCTATGGAGGGTCAGAGAGCTCTCAGATTTCATCAAAAAAATCTTAATTTGTGTTCCGAAGATGAACGAAGGTCTTACGGGTTTGGAACGACATGAGAGTGAGCAATTAATGACAGAATTTCCATTTTTGGGTGAACTAACCCTTTAAAGATCATAACGGTTTTAACAGGTTTGCTGAACGCTCACAAAGACAGCCCCGCCCCAAACTCACGTAATTGGTTGAATCAGACGTTGACATATCACATAGCAGGCACAACACCGGTATAAACATAAAAATATATCGGTACAATATGTGTCACATGACTAAACATGCGTCATCATTTTCTAAAGCCTACATTTTCACAGTCCGCACTACAACGCAAAAACAGCGTTTTCAAATTTATCCACTTTGGAAAGCATTTTTTTAAAAAAGCTCAGTTTTCTACGACAAAAACGCCATCTCAGTGTAGACAGAAGACCAAAACGGAGAGAAAAATATGTGTTTTCAAACGAAAACGTGTAAGTGTGGACAAGGCCTAAACTGCATGTAATAAAGAGCATAGTATTGTACGATTACTATAGAATAGCCTATATAGTGATTCACGTTACAGCATAAAACACATCCAATACACATTCTTTAGTCATCATTTTGTACTTTCAGAGTTGAAAAATGTATAAAATGTACATCGCCATCTTTCTCTGACCAAAGTGATTTGAACGTCGTAATTTGGATTTCCCAACTCAACTACGTTCAACTTTCCAAGGGGACTTGAACGCACCAGTTTCTAAAAGCGTCTCGCAGTTTTTTTTTAGCACAGCTAACATAAGCCTATTAACAACAACTACAACAATCTAAAGTACCTGATGCAAACCCAAATGTGTTACATTTACATGACATAATGCACATGTATCTGATTCAATGTCTACATACATTAGTTCATATATTAACAGGACTGACCTCTGTACCTTTATGTAATGCTGTAATAGCGTTTGATAAAGGTTTGCTTACCTCTATACATGAGCCACTCCCGTACGGTCTCAGTGACGTCAAAGGAAACCCACTCCGGCGTTCCTTTAGTCAGAACGTTCTTGCCAACGATGTAACGCTGCTTAGCGATGTGTTCATCGGGACGAAGAATCTACCAACAGACACGCCACACCTGAGTTTAGAACTAGTTCCATATGCCATCATCATTAGCAAACAACTTTAAAGGGATAGTTCACCCAAAAATCACCCTAAAAAAGTGTTCTCGTAGCTTCGCATAATTAAAATTGAGCCACTGATGTCTGGGAACATTTCAGTTGCGTTGCTGTCTATGGAGGGTCAGAGAGCTCTCAGATTTCATCAAAAAAATCTTAATTTGTGTTCCGAAGATGAACGAAGGTCTTACGGGTTTGGAACGACATGAGAGTGAGCAATTAATGACAGAATTTCCATTTTTGGGTGAACTAACCCTTTAAAGATCATAACGGTTTTAACAGGTTTGCTGAACGCTCACAAAGACAGCCCCGCCCCAAACTCACGTAATTGGTTGAATCAGACGTTGACATATCACATAGCAGGCACAACACCGGTATAAACATAAAAATATATCGGTACAATATGTGTCACATGACTAAACATGCGTCATCATTTTCTAAAGCCTACATTTTCACAGTCCGCACTACAACGCAAAAACAGCGTTTTCAAATTTATCCACTTTGGAAAGCATTTTTTTAAAAAAGCTCAGTTTTCTACGACAAAAACGCCATCTCAGTGTAGACAGAAGACCAAAACGGAGAGAAAAATATGTGTTTTCAAACGAAAACGTGTAAGTGTGGACAAGGCCTAAACTGCATGTAATAAAGAGCATAGTATTGTACGATTACTATAGAATAGCCTATATAGTGATTCACGTTACAGCATAAAACACATCCAATACACATTCTTTAGTCATCATTTTGTACTTTCAGAGTTGAAAAATGTATAAAATGTACATCGCCATCTTTCTCTGACCAAAGTGATTTGAACGTCGTAATTTGGATTTCCCAACTCAACTACGTTCAACTTTCCAAGGGGACTTGAACGCACCAGTTTCTAAAAGCGTCTCGCAGTCACAGTGTCTCACTCTTCTGAACATTGAACTGAGATACGAGCAAAGTATGTTAACATGGAAAATAATGACACGCGTGAGCTTGAGGAGAACACACACTCTCTCCTGCACACTATAGACAGACAGCGATTCATCCAGACACCGGAGCTGCCCGAGGCCAAACGCTTCTGCTCTCTCGCTCATGGAAAAAGTGAGTCGTGGAGTCTGATAGCCCATAATACAGCACGTCAGCGCCTGCGAACGAACGGCCCGAGCTCAGTCAACACACGCTGGGCTCCTCGTTCACGCCTCTGATTGACAGCTACATTTGAATGCAGGTGAAGATTCTTATTCAGAACCAGTTCCATTATTTTTAAACACTGGAACTGAATAATTTCCATGATGTTGTTGACGGTTCGGAGCTAAAATACTCTGGCAGACATCAGCTCTGTTCCACTCTGTCTACATAGACAGCAGCCTAGACAGAAACTCATAAGGGAACCATTTAGAAAGTATTTGTAGCAACTCATCATCACACACATAACTTTGTATTGATACTTTTCAATACTGAATGAATTAAATGTATTACAAGGCGCTCTGCTTGATTCTGATTGGTCAGTCGCGACATTAACAGATCATCATCACAACATTAGATCTAGCACTTTTAATGTGTTCAGTTCAGTTTGGTGTCTAACCTGACTAAAATAACATTCATCCAGATATCTGAAGCTATGGCATTACAATCTTGCGTCTGTCTTATAGACTATTGATTAGAAAATGAATCTGAGGACTTAAGTATTATTAACAATGCATTTTTTTTATTGTAGTGTTTGTTTTCTTGCCAGGATGATTATACACTGTAATAGATTATAGGATACTAAACAGGTAAGATTTTGAAACAAATCAATATTGCATGTCCCCATAATTATTTATTTAGTATAATTAGTATGACTGTACCTTATCCCTTACATTTCTCTAGTTTGAACTTGTTCATCTTGGCTAAAAGCCACTTTCTATGAACTGTTTTTTTCTTCTCAGAAGCTTTGTATTTAGTGAGCTAATGAAAAATGTAAACTCAGTCAATATTTTGTGTCCAATTGTTTAGTTATGTGGAGAGCAGCTGTGCAATAAGCAGGATAAACCCCTTCACAGTGATCACCCTGTCAAGGTTTATTTTGCAGCAACAACCATCCGGATGTACATGATCCCTGACTTATAATTGACATTTCACTAATCTCATCACAATGCATTCTGGGATTGCCTTCTCCATGATGAATACTGTACACTATGCACTGTTTGCTCCAGTGTACGTTTAGTGGATGCATTTGTGTAACAGTGCATGTTCAACACTCCACACTTATTTTTTCAGTTAAATAAGTGCATCCCCAGGTATTTAAAGTGCACTTCTTGTTGGAGTTTTCAGTGTGAACTACTTGCACTAGGCCATTTATACAACAAAATGGCATAGAATCGTGCAAAATTGTGACGCAGCTAATGTTTCCTGCATTGTGCTGCACTCCTGCTGAACATACAGCACCACGACATGAGAAATGATGTTTTAGCTGAGAGTTTGCAGTCTGAATCAAATATGCATAAAACAGCACAAAGGTAATATCCACACAGGATGTGTGATTCACAGATGAATGAGTCATATGGTTGTTTTTAATGAATCGGTCAAAAACACTCATCAGTCAGTCTCAGTCTCAAATGCACGAGCTATCAGTTCGATCAGTTTAATGACTGAATCACTGACTGAAGTCATTACTGTTGTCATGTCCAACTCGAAATGCACCAAGAGCTGTTACTGTGTGGCTCCAGAGACTTAAAGCAGTGTAATCACTGATGTGTTCAGACGCCAACATGAGCTCAAAGAATCATTAACGTGATTATTGAGGAAGCGGATTCATTTTTAACTGTGAAGATCACAAGTGTGACTTCTTTAAGACCATTTAGCCTTATCTACTCGTGTCAGAGATTTTCTTTTCTGTGTTCATATGGCATATATGCCACAAAAGTCACCAAGTTCAGTACCGTTCTGAAGAAGTAAAACATTCAAAATATAAAATTGGCTACTCTAGACTGCAACCATTTCAGTCGCATTTGCAACCAAAAATTAGTATGTGCGACTGAAAATATATTTAGGCAATGAAAATATTTTCAAACAAATCACTGTTTGCACATCTCGGAGCAACACACAGATGTGTTTCACTGCTGAACGAATCAGCATTTTTTGAATGAATCGGTCAATGATTCAATGAATCATTCATAAAAACAATCACTTGCTTCACTTATGAATGAATCAGTCATTCTGAATCAATTAATGACTCGATGACTCGATCTGTAACTTGCTGCCACCTACTGGCAGGTTTACTGTCATCTTTAAACGGAAAAATTAATTTTTTCCCCATCATTTCATAGTTCTATATTCAAACATTAAAGGTGCTGTATGTAATATTGGCCGCTAGTGGTTGAAATGGGTACTGTGGTCCGAATTCGAAATATTGTTTCTCCCACCCCTCCTCCTCAGACTCGAGGCTCACACGGGTTGCCACATTGAGGACACACAACAGGAATGAGAGCAACTGACAATGGAAGCAACAAGCCTTACACTGTACGTTGATGAGTTGATTTATTTGTGTTTAATATGCCTCTGTTCATAGAGCTTTTTCGATGGGTTTTTAGGTTGGGTAGAATCTGCGATCTCTGACCCAGTTTGTCTTCCATGGCTGCAATACTTGTTTTCCGCCAATCGGCAACCCGGGGTGTCGAAATCCTATTGGGTAAACTGACAGTGGGCGGAGTCACACAGACCAAAACAAAAACAGACATTCCGTCACGGAATGCTCATTTCAAAGCAGAATCACTGCTGTAGCAAGTATGTGAACTTGCTTGTGTTTCCTAAATATCTGCAAACTATTTTATTTTTATGCTTTAGTGCACTCAAAAAATAAAAATTAAAAAATGCATGCAGCACCTTTAATTTTTAAAACCCTACATTTATGTCAGCTGCATTAAACAGTGAATACATATAAATGCCACTTCAGATGCAGCTTCTGTGCCGCTTCTGCAGTTCAAAGATGGATTCTGTTGATACTGATTGTATTTGATTGGTAACAACCTGGTGTCTTATTGATTGATTTAATGGTTTATTTTTTGTATTATAAATTCTGAATAAAACAAACATTAATGGAGAAAATTCTACAAGAATGTACAGTTTTAGTTGTTCTACTTCAAAATTTCATGTTTAATTCAATGTGTTACTTGCCACTTCTTGTAATTGTTTGTGAAATTTACTTGAAATTGTTTTGTGTGTGTGTGTGTGTGTGTGTGTGTGTGTGTGTGTACATTTAATAAGGTTAGAGAAAACTGCCTTTATAAAAGGTAAAAGACACCATAGGAAATTAATTTAAGGTGTCAAGTATCATGAACATTACTTTATTGTGCCATCCCTAAGAGGCACAAATTCACTTTCACAGACTTTTACATTAACTGTTCCCTCCTGGTGATCGTAATTGTAAAGTTATTGTCTGTCATTGATCAGAAGGTGCAAATTACAAATTTGTTAACTGTGCAGAGTCATTTAATTTCTTACAAAGCTATCCCATCCATCAACTGCACAGAAATTGCAGTAGAAAATCAGAAGACCCTTTGAAAGTAGCTGTAAGAATGCGGCCCCTCGCTGTCTGACGCTTCAGTCTGCCAGATTAAATCAGCATCCGAAGCACGGAGGTCCCACCACTGCTTGGCCCATGAAAAGCAGGCTGGGATAAGTAGGTTCTGGAGCACTGCGAGGAGCTAATCTAAGATCCTGAGAGCACGGCTGGGAGCGGAGGTCTGTGGAGAGCACTTGAGCGGCCCACGCCAGAGCCACGGCGCTCTCTCCTGCGAGGCAAAGCAGCTTCTGACGGGAGGCCCGAGACCAGCGGCTCCTTTACAGGAAATACTGGAACCCCATCGAAAATCCCCACTGAAAACACAGCACCTATAGAGCATATACTCGCGGAATGAATCTGATATATAACGGCTCTCAGGCCTGCGAGCCGCAGGGTTTCATATTGCGGTCAGAGGCATGTGAAAGTAAAGCTCTGAGTTTCTCAGAATGCTTCTTTTGTTCGCTTGCAATTGTGCAAATGTTCTTCTGTATAATCCATCAGCACCTGGAATACAGATCAGGCCTGTTAAAGACTCGCGCTCCATCTCACTTCAGTACAGTGCCATCATCTTTCTCTCGTGTCTGTGTTTGTTCAGTGTGTGGAAACTCTAGTATCTGAGGCTTAGATGTGAAGGATGTGCTGCATGGTGTATTGGCGTTGTATTTAAAAACCTGCAAAAAACGACAAAGGTTGTGTCTGTATGAACTAAAGCATCGCCTATAATTGAACTGTAGAAAACAACTGATGTGTAGGCATTCTAACTGAAGATTCAGCCGATCTCATGGAAGTGCGTATAAATAGTACGTCAAATAAAAACCAAAACTCGTGGTATTGATACGCAAAAATGGACTTTGGCGTGTATATGATACGCGATGGGTATGTTTAGGGTTGTGGGGTAGGTGCGTGCGATCATATGAACGCGAAAACTGCGTATTATATGCACGCCAAACACATGCGTTTCATATGCACGCCAAAGTCCATTTTTGCGTATCAATACCACAAGTTTTTGTTTTTATTTGGCGTACTATTTATATGCATTTTCATGAGACCGGGCTCGAAGATTTGGTTAATTGTTAAAAATATTCATTCACACTACAATTGGGGATTTTTAATAATGTTTCTGACAGAAGTCTCTTCCGCTAACCAAGACTATATTTATTTGATCTAATGTACACAAAAAATAAGTGAAATATTGTAACAGTTTAAAACAGCTGTTTTCTACGTGAATATATTGTAAATTGTAATTGATTGCTGTGATCAAATCTGAATTTTCAGCATTGTATGATCCTTCAGAAATCATTCTAATATGCTGATTAAAACATTATTAACATTTCTGTTAACATTAACATTTTAACATTTTTATCAATGTTCAAAACAACTGTGCTGCCCAATATTTTTGTGGAAAGTGCGATAGATTTAGATACGCTCAGCTCAGTTTCACATTCTGTTCATTTACATCCATTCCACAGAATTCTGCAGATTTCCCCTTTAAAAATAGAAGAGAAAAGGCAAAAACATCCAGAGATCCCACCTGGGCCTGGTCATAAATCCTCTAAATCTTCTTGGAAAAATAAAGCATTAACCCTATAAAGCCTACTGTATCATATTTGAAGGTCTCTAAATGATCAAAACTTTGCTGTTAAACCTGTTTCACACTCAATCTACTGCGTTTTTTTTTTAGTCTCTTTTAGTATCATATAGTAACACTATTTAGTACTTTCAGCTGCCGACTGTCATACGCTCAGCTCAGTTTCACATTCTGTTCATTTACATCCATTCCACAGAATTCTGCAGATTTCCCCTTTAAAAATGGAAGAGAAAAGGCAAAAACATCCAGAGATCCCACCTGAGCCTGGTCATAAATCCTCTAAATCTTCTTGGGAAAATAAAGCATTAACCCTATAAAGCCTACTGTATCATATTTGAAGGTCTCTAAATGATCAAAACTTTGCTGTTAAACCTGTTTCACACTCAATCTACTGCGTTTTTTTTAGTCTCTTTTAGTATCATATAGTAACACTATTTAGTACTTTCAGCTGCTGCTTCTCGTGTCAGATCTTGACTGGTTTTGATCAAGTAAGCGTCAGAATAACGTCAGTAATATCTCCAGATGAACACTTACTGCACTGAAGCAGCTCAGCTTTACTTGATTCTCCATCAATCATGTTTTAGAGTCTCAAATCTGATCCTCAGGATCTTTTGAGGAGCGTTTGTTTCCAGAAGCTTTACTTTCACTGTTCCTCAGCGGAGGAATGATCTTCACAAGCCTCCAGAACATCTCACATCTTCTGAGGAGCCTTTATTTCTTCAGCTCTCAATCACTGCATTATATGTTTGGAGCATTTCACTCTCATCTCACTGAGACAGATTACTGGAGATATAGAGACGACTGATATTTAGATCATTTTATGTCAGTCTCTGCTGCACTGTTAGAAAGATCTCACTGATTTACATCACAAGCAGCAGAATTTCATCATATACTGTAAATATCAACATCTGCAGCAAATTGCATAATTAAGCAGTTTTTTTCCATATTCTCTATATCTATATGAGTCATGGATCAAATATGATTATCAACAAAACCATTTCTTCAGCTCTCAATCACTGCATTATATGTTTGGAGCATTTCACTCTCATCTCACTGAGACAGATTACTGGAGATATAGAGACGACTGATATTTAGATCATTTTATGTCAGTCTCTGCTGCACTGTTAGAAAGATCTCACTGATTTATATTACAAGCATCAGAATTTCATCATATACTGTAAATATCAACATCTGCAGCAAATTGCATAATTAAGCAGTTTTTTTCCATATTCTCTATATCTATATGAGTCATGGATCAAATATGATTATCAACAAAACCCAACCACATATGTGACCCTGCAGCACAAAAGCAGTGTTAAGTCGCTGGGGGATATTTGTAGCAATAGCCAACAATACATTGTATGGGTCACAATTATACATTTCTCTTTTATGCCAAAAATCATTAGGATATTAAGTAAAGATCATGTTCCATGAAGAAATTTGGTAAATTTCCTACCGTAAATATATCAAAACTTAATTTTTGATTAGTAATATGCATTGCTAAGAACTTCATTTGGACAACTTTAAAGATGATTTTCTCAATATTTTGTCTAAGGTTTCAATAAGCGGTTCCGTTTGGAATAATTCAGTTTTTCAGGCTGTGCAGGTTGAATGTGACTGAATGAAAGCAGCTGGCTGGCACCTGGTAGAGCTCGATGCGCTGCTCGTTTCTCTTGGCGCTGGAGTTCGGCACACGCAGCGCACGGAACTCTGCCCGGAACAGGTTGGTGGCGTTCTTCTCCATGCTGGAGACGTTGAAGCGGAAAACCTTGGACGTTATTCCCTTGGGGCAGTAGGGAAGGTCATCTGCAATGGAAGAGAGGTCAGAGAACAGCTATCAGTTTCCTCCGATCTGACCTGATCACACATTCAGGCAAACCTGTCGTCCATCTGTTTATGCTTTGTGCCACTAGAGTATGAAGTTCAGAAATGCTGAAATGAAAGCCAAATGTGTGAAAGACTGAACTCACGGTTACTGCAGAACAGGTGCAACAAAGCCCTCAGTTTGCATGAATACATCTCATATTTCATTTCACATTAACTGCTCTGAAGTACAACACTGTAAACTAATTTGGAGATTAAAGATTACTGGAGTATGTTTTACAAGAAAATACTGTTACACTCTTTCTACTTTAAAATGTCATATTTAATTCAACGTGTTACTTTCCGTTTCTTTGTGATTATTTTGTAAGTTTACTAGCAGTTTCTGAGTGAAAACATTGTTTCTACACCAAATTATTTTCAGTGAAGGATTTATTCACCCAAAAATACAAAAGTGTGTCATTATTTACTCATCTCATTTTAAGCCACACAAACAGCGGGTAAAATAAGTATTGAACGCGTCACCATTTTTCTCAGTAAATATATTTCTAAAGGTGCTGTTGACATGAAATGTTCACCAGATGTCGGTAACAACCCAAGTAATCCATACATACAAAGAAAACAATACAAATAAGTTCAGAAATCAAGTTCTGTGTAATAAAGTAGAATGACACTGAATGACGTACTGAAATGTATTTAATACTTTGTACAAAAGCCTGTGTTGGTAATGACAGCTTCGAGACGCCTCCTGTAGCAGAAACTAGTCGCATGCATTGCTCAGGAGGGATTTTGGCTCATTCTTCCACAGAGTCTTCAAATGTTGAAGGTTCTGTGGGCCTCTTCTATGAACTCTGCTCTTTAGTTCTTTGCATTGATTTTCTATTGGATTCAAGTCAGGTGATTGGCTGGCCATTCTAGCAGCTTTACTTTCTTTCTCTGAAACCAGTTGAGTTTCCTTGGCTGTGTTTGGGATCATCGTCTCGCTGGAATGTCCACCCTTGTTTCATCTTCATCATCCTGGTAGATGACAGCAGATTTTCATCAAGAATGTCTCGGTACATTTTTTCCATTCATCCTTCCTTCAATTATATGAATTTTTCCAGTGCCACACCATGATGTTTTGGGGTGATGTGCAGTGCCCTTTGACCTCCAAACATGTGTATTATGGCATCCAAAGAGTAAAATATTTGTCTCATCTGACCAAACTATATTCTCCCAGTAATTCACAGGCTTGTCTAAATGTGGTGCAGCAAACTTTAAACCAGCTTCAACATGCTTTTTCTTCAGCAACAGAGCCTTGTGTGGTGAGCGTGCATACAGGCATTAATGCATTAATTATTGTACTTATTATTTTCTTTGAAACAACTGTACCTGCTAATTCCAGGTCTTTCTAAAGCTCTCCACAAGTGATCCTTGGCTCTTAGAAAACGCTTCTGATAATTCTTTTCACTCCTCTGTCAGAAATCTTGCGAGGAGCACCTGGTCGAGGCCGGTTTATGGTGAAATCATGTTCTTTCCACTTCCCAACATTCAGAAGTATAGAAATCCTTCTGTAACCAATGCCATCAGTATGTTTTGCAACAATAAGGTTGTGAGGGTATTGAGAAAGCTCTTTGCTTTTACCCAACATGAAATGTTTTTTGTGTGACACGTTGGTCATGAGACACCTTTTTATAGGCCATCAGTTGGGACTGAAGCAGCTAATTCTAATTTCCACTGACGAGGGGCAGGATTGCTTTCTAATTACGGATAGATTTCAGCTGGTGTCTTGGCTTTCTGTGCCTTTTTGCACCTCCCTTTCTTCATGTGTTCAATACTTTTTCCCTGTCATTCTACTTTATTACACAGAACTTAATTTCTGAACTTATTTGTTTTGCTTTCTTTGTATCTATGGATTACTTGGATATTACCGACATCTGGAGAAAATTTCATGTCAACAGCACCTTTAGAAATATATTTACTGTTCAATACTTATTTTACCCGCTGTAAGTCTAAATGTCTTAATATCATTCATTAGACACAGCAACATTAATTGTAAAGAAAGATGCAAAAACACATTTCAATTAAAACACTTCATCTGTTAATTGCGTATTTTATTGACACACACACACACACACACACAGTATACTGTATGTTGTTTTGTTACTGTTCTCAATTATCTGCTGAGAAAAACATTCTCATTCATAAAGGTGTGTAAAACACTTTCAACTGTTCTGTCCCTCTTTCTAATGTTGATGAATCTAGATTATTAAGAAACGTGTAGAAGCAAGTTCTCTAAGTTGGTCAGTAGCATAAAATACTTCCAAACACCATGCCAAACCATGTCTATTCAAAGTGTTTCCACACAAACTCCTGCACAGCAAACCCTACGCTGTCTGAAGTCTCTTCTGCTCACCAAGGTGACATTTATTTGATCAAAAATACAGTAAAAATTGTGAAATTTTATTACAATTTAAAACAGCTGTGTTCTGTGTGAATCTCTGTTAAACTGTAATGTATTTCTGTGATGCGCAGCTGTATTTTCAGCATCATTCCTCCAGTCTTCAGTGTCGCATGATCTTCAGAAATCAGTATAATATGCTGATCTGCTGCTCAAGAAACATTTCTGATTATTATCAATGTTGAAAACAGTCGTGCTGCACAATATTTCTGTGGAAACCGAGATTCATTTTATTTTTCAGGATTCACAGATGAACAGAAAGTTCAAAAGAACAGCGTTTATTTAAAATAGAAATATTTTATAATACTATAAATGTCTTCTCAATTTAATGCATCCTTGATGAATAAAAGCATGAATGACTTTCAAAAAACTGCCTAAAACTTTTTAATGGTAGTTTACACATGATCCACTATTTTATAATGAGCCATCCCATGTTGAGAACGGTTTCTGGTTACTAAATACATCAGATTTACTGTTTGTAATTCGGATTGCACTGATAATATTATGTAAATAAACATTTTGGTGCACTTCATGTTCATTTCATGTAGTTTCAGCTGATTTGAATTTTTACCCAAACTTATTGTAATTTCACATACAGGTTGTGTGCATTAATACAAATATGTTGCATAGCGATTAACACAGTGCTTATCCGGCTTACCTTCCAAATTCTGTCCCAGTTGACTAAACCTTTTAATTTAGTATTTTAACTCTATTAAAGAGCTTCTACGAATAAACAGAATAATAACTGTAAAGGGTTTCTTCTGCTTTGTCTAAGGTCTAATGCTACTGATGACTGAATTCCTGACTGGCTGGCTGGCGAGTCAGATGTGGAATATTTATGTAATATGAACAGATAATGCCAGCTGGGCTGCTGCAGTCCAGATCTGGCCAGACGCGCTGCGCATACTGTACCTCATGCAAACCGCACGCTTATGCAAGCCTCCTTCTTGATTTGGAGCACAAAATGCACCAAAATCAAAAAAGAAAGCAGTGCAGAAGAGCAGTTCTGCACCATATGGAAAGATGGTGTGATTTTGTATATTTGTGGTTAACTGGTTATATATATATATATATATACATGCCGTGAAAAGGTTTTTGCCCCCTTCCTGTTTTTTGTTTTTTTTTGCATATTTGTCACACTTAAAAGATTCAGATCATAAAACAAATTTTAATATTACACAATGATAACCCAAGTAAATACAAAATTCAGATTTGAAATAATGATTTCATTTATTAAGGGAAAAAAGCTGTCCAAACCTGCCTGGCACTACGTGAAAAAGTAATTGCCCCCTAAATCTAATAACTGGTTGTGCCACGCTTTGCAGCAACAACTGCAATCAAGCGTTTAAAAAAAAAAAGAGGAAGGGTGCAACAACCTTTTCACACCACTGTATATATAGGTTGATCCAATCATCTCTCCGTAAGCTTCTCACGTCGCGCTCCTTCTTTAAGGTGGAAAGCTCCACTTTGAGATTTTAAATTCTAATCAACTCTTCGGTTTCCTTCTAGATGATCTCATTTTTCCTACTGCGGTGTTTTAGGTGGATTTCACATTATGGCTGATTTTCGCCAGGGCTCCAGAGCTTAGCTCATTTGTTCCATGAATAGAAGTGCAGGGATTGTTGCTATAAATGAAGTCGAATACAAAGATTAGTTTGCAGTCATCAGATATGGGTCAAACGGCCAGAGAGTGACGTCACAGCGATCGCACGCTTGCCCAAACACCTCAGGATTTACAAACGGGAAAGAAAACAGACTGCTTTTATCAGCAGTACTACTTAGTTATTGCAAACCAGTGTTATTTTAGTATTATGGTAGCAGTTTACAGTAAGGTTGTTTTTTAATATTAGTTAACAGCAGTAGTTAAGTTCAGTACTTAGTTTTACTAATACACTATTAAAGTTAAAAGTTGTATCTGTTATTATATATTATGTAATGGACCTGAGATAACATGAACTAACTACAAACAGTATTTTTATTAACTAACATTAAACACTGTAACAAATATAATGCTCATTTTAGTTAATATTACTTAATGTCTTAGTTAACCATAACTAATTTCATCTTATTTGAAAGTGTTACCGTATTATTTATATACTTTTGTAAATTCATTTTGTTTCATATACTTTCAGATGTCTTTTTAATTTGTTATTTTAATCATTTTATGTGCTTTTTGTTATTTTTATTAGTTTTTTATTTTTTAGGGTTATTTATGTATCACTTATTTATTTGTCTATCTCATTTCCACTATAGTCGTTTTAGTACTTCAAATGTAACTAAACGGAAATTAGAAATGTTGCTTTGGCAGCTATGTTTTTCTCTTAATATATATTTTTTTATTATTTTAGCTTTATTTCAGTTAATAACAATGTTTTAATAGTTTTAGTTAATGATAATAACTCTGTTAAACTGCAACCTTTTTTAGGGTTATTTATGTATCACTTATTTATTTGTCTATCTCATTTCCACTATAGTCGTTTTAGTACTTCAAATGTAACTAAACGGAAATTAGAAATGTTGCTTTGGCAGCTATGTTTTTCTCTTAATATATATTTTTTATTATTTTAGCTTTATTTCAGTTAATAACAATGTTTTAATAGTTTTAGTTAATGATAATAACCCTGTTAAACTGCAACATGTTTGCAAAAATGAGTGCATAGTTTCACCGATATGCTTTCACCAATCCATCGTATTCAATTTCACTTTGTAACATGCTCTCAGAAAGGGGCCTTTGGCCGGTTAAGTCTGATTTCTGAGGTCCTCTCGTTGGTTGGACTCTAAACACGGACCCTACAGAGAGAGATATAAGCATCCGGTGTCTGGGATGTCCTTCCTCTCCTGCCAGGTGACATGATCCAGAGCTCCTGAGGAAGCGCTGAGGTCAGACGAGAGGAGTAAACAGAGGAACTGGAGGAGAGGAGGGCACAAATGAAGGCGCAGACTTCCTGCTGTCAGGACTACATCTTCTAGCTGAACGATGACACTTAATCAGTCTTATAAAATTACATAATCTCAGCCTCTTGTATACCTTATATGGTTACTTATAAAGCGGAGCGTTCCGGTCCTTGATTCTGATTGGCTGAGCCACGTTCGAAGCTGTTGTAAATGGTTCCACTACATTGTTTGGTGGAAGAATACTGTGTTTATTAATATCATTACACTTTATTTGCTCCGTTTTATTTTGTGAAACCTTACTACGTATATGGAACCGTTTTATAAAAGCAATAATCCCCGTGAAGCCGTGGTTTACAGTGAATTTATAACAGCTAAGTGCCTAACAACGCCCCTTAGCTGTTATAAATTCACTGTAAACCACAGTTTCACGGGGATTATTGCTTTATTATATTACAGACAATCATAAGCTTTAATCATTTTAAACGTTTGTTTTGTGCCTCTTAAATTACTTTCATCATTTTTAAATGCCGAAATGCACTTTATAATGATTTTTTTAAGGGGTAGTGGTATTTATGATTTGTAATTTTATACAAAAAAAACTGCTGTAACCAATATGGATGTCTTTATCATCACAGCAAACATTTTAGAACACAACTTTCAATAAAAAACTTTTATCAAAAGTCTAGAAGCCAAATGAAACATCAAAAAAAAGATGCATGTATAAACAACCAGAAGTTTCTGAAAAATACTGCAAACAGATTCATCCACAATACTACAAAAAGAGCTCAGTGGATAGTTACGAGGAAAATGTTTTAAAATAAAACCTGAAAGAGTTGTCAAAGCTTCATGTTGGTGACGCTGAAATCACAATGACTGGTTTAGTTTGTATAGCGTTTTTGTATTAGGCCTTATGAAAGTTCACTAGTAAGAATCATAAACTGTTAGTCACAGAGCTTATTCTCTGCAATAATCCAAAATGTAATGGACAAATCCTATTGGGGTTTTTTTGTGGCAGGAACCAGAGTGATATGAACTTATGAGTCGGTCTACAAAAATGCATCACTGTAGTGCTCTATGCCAGTTTGAAGATCAGAAAGTTAATAAACTGCTAGCTAACAGGACCTCCAAATGGTTTCCAATATGATTTCTCCAAAGGCAGAGAAATATCATTACCATCACACCTCCTTACAATATACCAAAATCCACTGGAAAGCTGATTAAATATCTAATCCAGGAAGCATAGAAGCATACATTTCATTTTTCAAAAGTTTCCCTCACTGAAGAATCAACCTATTATATTCAAAGTCCAGAACTGTAAAGGTTAAAGCATTTCCAACCACCAAAGCCTACAGCCATCACAGCAGATTGAAGGCAAATCAAAGCAACTTTTAAGGGCCAATCAAGACAAGAACATTGTGTGTTTTCTTTCAGGTCCTGTGCTGTCTTTTTTCTGCTTCCAAATGGCAAGTCCGAAGTGAAATGAGGTCATGCAGTAAATATTTTGAGTGCATTTATCAAGCGCTGTATAATCGGCTGTGACCCACGCTAAGTGACTGTTTGACTCTTGCGGTCGGTTATTTGAAGTGTCTTTGAGCGAACGTGGAATCCCTCAAATAAATGACACGACGGCTGAAAGGCCACAGACTGTGAGATGAGATAATGTGCAAAAGCCTGCTGCCGACTCCAGCGCTCACGTGACGAGAAACGAGAGAAGAAGAGAAGGAAAAACGTGCGTGTTTGTGTGTTTTGGCCGGCAAATGCGATCTCTGTTTTGCTTGGAAATTACATCACCTTCTTACTATTAAACATATCAGAAGGGCGTCTTTCTGCAGCTCTGATCCTCTCTGGCGGCCGCGACTTCCAAAAGCCAGATACTGTTAACCAGGAGACTGTCACTATCTGCTAACTGGGTGTTCCTCCGTCAACAGAGAACATTTTCTGGAAAGTTGACTGTGACGATGGCAGTTCAAGGGTTTGAGTGCCAATCAGACAGCGACTGGAGGTGCTGCTCCGGGTTAATGGATAGACAGGTCTGGAATGGCAAAAATGCTTTCCAATGATGTCCCGCAGTCATTTTTGGTAAGAAAGCGTAACCTGTTGATGCACTCAGAGCCACTGCTGGGACGCTTGGAAAAGCACGATGCGTAAATGATTCCACACGGCGCAAGCGTCCAAAACACAGAGCATGAAAAAGCCATTAGTTTAGCTGATGTGAATGGAACGTGAATATACATTACTCCATCCCCGCCACATTCTCCCATACCGCGCTTGCTGAAACTGAACACTGCTTAATGGAAAGAAAAGAGATCCTGTCGCCAGTCCGGTGTGGATGCGCTTGAGTGCTACAATTCTTTGTCTGTGCTGCGGGATGAAGTCTCCAGCGGGGCGTTATCTAAAAAATACGCTGAGCGTTTGCCATAGTGGTGTGGGGAGATAATCATTTAATATGAAGCTCTTAAAATATACATTTATATGTTGCAATCACATGCTGCCATCTTATTTCCAAAAAATTATAAAGAAGGGTGTTCAAAAAAGGACACATGAAATCAAAATGGGCATGTATAAATCTCTTTACAATCCTAAAAGTTGACTAACTAATGTGCATGTATAAGCTTTCAAAATTCTTCAAGTGTTCCTTTCTGAGAAAAAAAAAGTTGACTCCTTGTCTTGCACTCACAAGCACACGACATATTTTGTCCAATCAGATGCTCTGTAGAATAAGAAAGCCCCTCCTTCTAATACCACCTGCCACCAACTACCAACAACAAGCAGCAAATCACAAAGTTACACTCTAGAAATAAACAGATATTTGAGACCGTTCAGATCAGAAACCTCTGGAGAAGCTCTTTCTCTGAGGAACGTTTCAAATGGAACTCATAAGTTCCTGCGAGAACTTGGGTTAGTGGTTCCTCCAGTACACTCTTAAAAATAAAGGTTCTTCATTGGCATTGATGGTTCCATAACATCCAAGGAATCTTTCCATTTCAAAAAAGGTTCTTTATAGTGGAAAAAAGGTTGTTCAGATCATTAAAATGCTCTTCACACTAAGAAAAATGGGTCTTTAGGGAAAAGTTTTTTGGGGGGGAAACCCCTTTAGAAACCTTTATTTTTATGAGTGTAACAACACCACAAGAGAAGATCTTGAAATATATATCGAAGTTTATTTCATTCAGCAAGTTCTACTACGAAGGGTAAACAGCAGTAAAATGCCGATAGGACCGTCTGGTTCTGATCTCACTGAATCCCATCAGTTCTCCAGAATCTCCGCGCAATCAAGTGTGCTAAACTAGGAAGACATTCCCACAACTGACTGTGTCCTCAAATAATCTGGGGCCCGTCTGGACTTGGACAGGACCCAGAGACACATGGAAAACTGGTGGGGATCGTTTTGCACTGACCCTCCGATGGACGAACAGACCAGACAAACCATGCGAATGCTTTTCAGATGTCAAGTTTTTCCATTTATGAACAAATTTGATTAAAACCTGTTTGGTGAATCTCGTCATGTGAACAGCTGCAGCAATTTATAAGAACTTAAACAGAATTACATTATATAACTCTTGACAAATGGAAGTACTTGTCAATGCTCAGTATTCAAATATTTCTTGGCGAATTTAGTGAATGCTCAGAAATTCTTTAAATTGCATTGTTTATATCTCTAGATATCAGCATTGGCCTTTAGAGAACTAGATCCATTTTTTGTTTAGTTTTTGCGTTTATATGACCTCCTGATCTATTTCTGGTTATTTTAAAGTGTTGCTATAAATACGGGAGGCTCAGTTCTGCCCGGTCTCCGGTGTGAGACCTCCTCTAGTGGACTTACTGTTTTCAGGGGAGCCCTGGATCATGTTGAATTTGTGTATCTCTTTAGCGTAGTATTCGGTCTCGGTGTTGTCCTGGCCGCAGCTCTGATGTCGGTCTCGCCCTAACTCCTCCAGCAGTTCCCTAGTGCTGTTATAGAGGGCCAGCACTTGATAGGGCACCTGACTGTGGCCCAGGGTCTGCGGCGGGCTGGTCAGGCGCAGCTTGCTGAGGATCTGACCCCGGATGGCCTCCACCCTCTTCTTCTTGATGTGGTCGATGTCCACCGTGGTGCAGGTCGACAGAGAGAAACTCATGGTCACACTGTTTAGGAGAAGGAAAAACAGCAGTCCTCTGCCCAGATGCATGGTTTATTCTGTACACTTGTCACTCAAGTAAACACAGTTCCAGTTCAGCTGAATAGGTTTAAAAGGATAATGAGACTAATTCCAGGTTGTCCTCTCTATGGGCTGGATGGAGTTCAAGTGCTGAGCCTGTTTTCTCCATGAGATTCCATGCTGCAAGCTTATTCCATAGAAGCACTGCACAGTAATCCCATAGCATCCTTAAACATCCATCACTGGCACTCTGCAAGAAACCAGACTTTCAGCATAGCGTTCCCCAGCCGCATTTTCCCCTAAACCGAGCGCTGTGAAGGACTTTTCCGTGGAGGACCCTGCTGTCAGACGCACGCTCTCTCTCTCGCCGCTCGCGCTGGAGTGCCAGGCTTATTTCGCTCCCGCTGCGCTTTTATAGTCGGAGCCGGGGTGACGCGTGCGGTGGGCGGAGCTTCCTCCTCATTCATGCAGTCGCTTTATATAATAGCTAACGCATAGAAAATGTAATTGCACATTACGTAACCCAAAGCGATGGAAACGAGTAGAATATTTTAGAAATGACTGTGCAACCCTAATTATCCAAACGCCAGATTGCCTTCTCAGTTGCGCACAGACGCTCAGTCTGACCGCTGGGTTTGTAAAGTTTGTGCACCTCCTGCTGGAAGTTTAGTCTGATTTCAAAATACCAACATGAGCTTTATACCAGCTCTATATCTTGTCCCACTTTATATTAGCTGGCCTTAACTACTATGTACTTACATCATACAGTCTACTTATTGTGTTCATGTTGAATTGCTAAACACTTCTGCTGTTATTGTGGTGCAAGGTTAGGGACAGGTCTGGTGGTATGGGTAGGATTAAGGGTGGGTTAAGGTGTAAGAGATGGGTCAATAGTGTAATTATATATACGTAATTACAAAAATGAATTACAGATGTAATTACACGCATGCATTTTTTTAAATATAAGTGCAATGTAAAAACATGTATGTACACAGTAAGTGCATTGTATCAAATGATTAATTTAAATGTAATGACATAGTAGTTAAGGCCACCTGATATAAAGTGGGACCCAATTTTATGTACGGGGTGAGTTGAGCCAAGTTTTACTTACGGTGTGGTTAAAGCGAGCACATAACAGTAACGGGTCCGACTTAAATATGCACATATATTTCAGGATGTGGTGCTGTGCATCCTTGGGAATAATCACTTTGGGTCTAAAATAAACTGCTTTCAAAATATGGCTTTCCAAAAAAAAGAAAAGAAAAAAAAAGTGGTTTCTTCAACTCGCTCCGCAGGGAGGGGTAAATTGAGCCGAGTGAGAGGGTAAGTTGAACCTCATGCTATGTCAAAGGAAGAGAAATTCAATAAAAAAAAAAGACTTATTAAAATCCAGGGAGCTTCTTCACCTGTGGCCCAAGACGCTGGGTTAGGATCCAGCGCCCCACGAACCTAATATAGGTTTGGATAACAGAATGGATGGATGGATGAATGACTTCTTAAACTCTAAAATAAACTGCTTTCAAAATATGGCTTTCCAAAAAAAAGAAAAGAAAAAAAAAGTGGTTTCTTCAACTCGCTCCGCAGGGAGGGGTAAATTGAGCCGAGTGAGAGGGTAAGTTGAACCTCATGCTATGTCAAAGGAAGAGAAATTCAATAAAAAAAAAAGACTTATTAAAATCCAGGGAGCTTCTTCACCTGTGGCCCAAGACACTGGGTTAGGATCCAGCGCCCCACGAACCTAATATAGGTTTGGATAACAGAATGGATGGATGGATGAATGACTTCTTAAACGTTTGATCTAAAGATACAGTTCACAACCCTGATGGCATTTTTTTAATTATTATATTAAGTTCAAATTGAAGAATTGAGAGAGGAAAAAAAAACAGACTGCAACTGACCTTACAGAAATGGGCTAATAGTACTCAACATCCCACTAATGAGTGGAGGATAGGAGGGCTTCTTAAAGACAAACTAACAGGTCTGTGAGAGCTAGAATTCTTGCTGGTTGGTAGGTGATCAAATACTTATTTCATGCAATAAAATGGAAATTAATTATTTAAAAATCATACAATGTGATTTTCTGGATTTTTTTTTTTTGATTCTGTCTCTCACAGTTGAGGTATACCTACGATAAAAATTACAGATCTCTCCATTCTTTGTAAGTGGGAAAACTTGAAAAATCAGCAGTGTATCAAATACTTCTTTGCCCCACTGTATATCCCACAATTTCATAAAAACGTTTCATGTTTATAAAATGTACAGAACAAAATCAAGTTCAAAACAAAGAACAAAATCAAAGTCTAAAATGAATTAAATATAATGCACAACTACAGTAAAATAATACTAGTGCTATAACAGTACAGCACATTATCATAACCTCCTAAAGCACAAACACACGCGTGATGTTTTTTCAGATTTGTAATTGTTCAGACACAAGAAGCATGAGTCCTTGAACATAAACGAATCACTCTGAACAGCAAAACACTGATTTTGAACCTAAATGTAGTTACCAAACGTTGCATGGTCCTTTCTCTGTCACAGGGCGAGTAAAATAGTTACATCTTCAAATATGCGTTTGTGGTCATATCCCCAATTTTGTTTAAGGTTGTGCAGAAACAAGGTGGCTCAGCTTCCCCACAGGCTCACCCCGTGTGAATGATAGTCAGTGTCTTCGTAATAATCATATCTGTACACTAGAGAAATGCAAGTATACCTCTTGTAAGATCTGGTGATCTTCATGCAGATCTCACTGTCCGTGACATACGTCAGTTTGCATGAAGTCACTGATGTCAGGTTACAGTGGGAACATGCATATCAACATTTCTATATATGGCAAGATCCAAGTGGCTTAAATCAACATGCACAGGCAATGTCCTAAACAATACAAGACCCCAGATTACTGGCACGCAACCAACTATCCCTTAAAAAACAAAAATAAACAATGCAGCATGAGTGGATGTCAGAGCCCTCGGTGAAGCCGCTTTACACCACATTACATCCTCTCAGGGACAGAGGATACGTCTGAACTGTGTTTTTGCTTTACATTTATATGTGTTTATATTGCTTTAGGCTCCGTATACGACCTCGAGTTTTAGAAAATGTAGTCAAATAAACTTGAAATGTTTAACAAAGAAAGAAAGAACAAATTCTGACCAAATCTGAACCGGTGAACACCAAGCAAATGTAAAGAAAGGAGGCACAAACAAGATGATTTTGAGCATCATTTCTTATCATTCTATAGGTGACAAAATTCCTAAAATCACCCATATTTCATATCTCTCTCCAACACAGGCGCTGTTTATGTGCAGAATTGCTGGAAGGCTGCTTGTATCTTAAGAATCGTCATTTATACGCTCCATTGTGTCTGTGCATGTTTTCTGTCACCTAAAATCATCAATGTACATATATTAGATCAGGTAAAACTCTGGATTATTGTTATTCTCTTAAAACATGCTTTGACAATTTTTTGGCGCGAAAATCGCACATTTGGGTACGACTGATGGAATACATACATTACGGAGGGTAAAACATTAAATTTTACAAATAACATTTTTTAATATGAGAGACGTTTTTGTACATTTCTTGTTTCTAGAGTTAGAAATAAATTAGTACGACTGACGGAATTAGCCTTTGCGGTGACGCGGGTCGGCGGCGGCGTGACGTCACTTCCGGGACGCGGCTCCGCTAGAAATGGACGACAGTCTTCAGCTGGCAGACGGAGGAGTTACTAAAAATGTGAGTTGAAAAGCTATTAAACTGTTTTCGAGATTCGTGCATCACTGTAAGCAGTCAGACGTGTGCAGACACGGAGCAGCTTTTGTTTCGCGCTGCGATTGAACAGTTTTCAGTTCAGGAGCGTTGTGTGTGGGCTAAACATCTGGTGTCCTGCCGCATCAACTAGTCCCCACAGATCCCTGAGCTATAACACACAGAAATAACTCGATCTCGTGCTGTCTGTGTGCTTTGGTCCTCTTCTATCGCGTGTAAACAGAGGTGGCGCGTCATGTTGCCATAGCAACAGCAATGGCGTCTGTGGACCGCGCATTAATACACATTCAGATCCACTGGCACGAGACTACATATTAATATATTCTTTTACATTCAGACATTTAGCAGATGCTTTTATCCAAAGCGACTTACAAATGAGGACAATAGAAGCAATCAAAACCAACAAAAGAGCAATGATACGCAAGTGCTAGTCTCAGTTAGCTTAACACAGTACACATATCAAGTTTTTTTTTATCATATAATAAATAAAAAGTAAACAGATAGAATACAAAAAAGTTAGAGAAGCAAGTGTTATATATATATATATATATATATATATATATATAAAGAAAACAAGCAGTTAGTGAATAAATAGAGTGCAAGTCTAAAAGGGGTGTTTTTTTAATGAATAGAATTATAATAGAGTGTGCTAGAGATCATCAGGATGGACTGAGGCGTAGAGATGAGTGTCATCAGCATAGCAGTGATATGAAAAGCCATGATTCTGAATGACAGAACCTAATGATGCCATGTAGACAGAGAAGAGAAGTGGTCCAAGAACTGAGCCCTGAGGCACCCCAGTAGCTAGATGTTGTGACTTGGACACCTCAGCTCTCCAAGATACCTTGACGGACCTATCTGAGAGATAAGACTCAAACCACTGGCCTGCGGTTCCTGACATGCTCTTTGCCAATAGGAGGATCTGGTAGTTAAATTAATATGTTTACATCAGAAATAAAGGTAGTACAACAAATACTACCATTATGTATCAATACTTTGCGTTTAAAATAATAAATCATACTTGTTTTGCATTGCAGTAATGCAACCATGAGAATGTCTTCAATGCTCGTGAAATTTTGTAATTGTTCTAAAACAAGCTTCATTTTTTTTTTAGCAAAACGTAATTTCTGATTTCTTTCGTGTTCATTCTGGGATGGCGTATGAGCAGCTTGTTGTTGCTAGATTTTCACTATGATGATGATGTTGGTTAGGTTGCCAGATCAGGCAGAAGAGCTCGTCAGGCCGCTGAGATGATGAGCGCTGAAGACTCTCGTCAGAGGAAATCATCTTCATCACTCAGCAACGCAGCAGAGGTCAGTCCTCATTTTACTGATTGTATGCATCTGAACTGAAGAACATTTAAGGGGACCCCTGTATTTCTTCACACAATCTGGTGACCTTAGTTGGGTATGAATGTGGTGAATGTCGCTTATCTAGCAGATTATCACATGAGACACGTCTATAATAAATAATAATAAATGTGCTCCATGCGTGAATGAATATTAGGGATGTAGACTAACTATATATTGTGTCCCAATATTTTGCAATACAAAATGCAACAATATGTATCATAGATAGTTCACCCCAAAATTAAAGTTTAGACATTTAATTTAGGCTTTTATTCACATATATAAACCTTGATTGACACACAAACACAAAGAGCACGTTGAATATGGTAAATCCAGAAGCTCACACATTTGAGCTTCCATGCATATTAATTATTAATAAAATACATTATTTAATAAAATATAACATTTATAACTAGTTAAATGTATGTAGTCAGGGATAGAGGGCAAGCATATGTGTCTAACATTATTCTGGCTATTTAGTTAAGCAGAATAATTAATATTTCTATTCTGGTTAATGAACGATAACATTTGGTAAATGTCTTACAAATGACAATATAAAAAAAAAACCTTACCATTTAAAGGTGACATATCATGAAAATCGGCTATAATCAGGTCTCCGGTGCATCTACTAATCAAGGAAACATGAAAAAGATGAACCCAGTAACTTTGTTTTGGGAAGGCTTTTTCTGCAAGCTTCTGAGAAAACGAGCGCGTCTGATTTCGCTCACTTGGTGACGTTGCAAAGGGATCTCATTATAATATTACCACCCCTTAATCTGTAAGTTTCTACCCACGGCGCCGCCATTGTGTTTTTTGCAAGCGACTACGGTGTACTAGTTGTACTATGTGTACTACGGTGTACTAATGCCATGACGAAAGTTTGAGCACAGAACACTATTTAGATCTAAAATAAACATGCGATTTATTTCCCAGCCGTTTACCTTCACAGACATAACCCACTGTTTTTATAACTCGTGTGTTTTTAACATAAACTTGTGTGTGAATGTGAACTTTAGTTTAGTGCTTACATGCTGCGACAGCCGCTTTCTGTGCGTGTGCTTCAGATGTGTGCGCTCAGAAAACCATATATCAGAAGTTTAAACTCATATGCTTTCAAACGCATGATTTCAGCACGATAAACATGATAATCAGAACCAAAACAGATGTTTTTAGCAGGTACTAATGCCATGACGAAAGTTTGAGCACAGAACACTATTTAGATCTAAAATAAACATGCGATTTATTTCCCAGCCGTTTACCTTCACAGACATAACCCACTGTTTTTGTAACTCGTGTGTGTTTTTAATGTAAACTTATGTGTGAATGAGAACTTTAGTTTAGTGCTTACATGCTGAGACAGCCGCTTTCTGTGCGTGTGCTTCAGATGTGTGCGCTCAGAAAACCATATATCAGAAGTTTAAACTCATATGCTTTCAAACGCATGATTTCAGCACGATAAACATGATAATCAGAACCAAAACAGATGTTTTTAGCAGGTCCGAGCTGTAAAGGCGCAGCTCTATTCTGGAAAAGGGGGCGGGGAGCAGCAGCTCATTTGCATTTAAAGAGACTGGCCTGAAAAACAGCGTGTTTCTGCTTCCACTCAAAATAGGCATTTTCAAAATGATATAATAAATGATCTGTGGAGTATTTTGAGCTGAAACTTCACAGACACACTCTGGGGACACCAGAGACTTATATTATATATTGTAAAAAGGGGCATAATATGTCTCCTTTAAACTTTTTTTGTTTAGAGTATTGTGAGAGTATCATATTGTGAGATCAGTGTATAAAAGCGAATCATGACATGAGTTTATTGAACACAATGGTCTGTCATTCTTTTTTCTTTTATGTTTTGTTACCATGTAGGGCTGTATTTTTTTAAATAGGGAAATCAGTTTTGTTGTACTGCTCAATAACATGCAAAATAACCTTAAAACCAACATTGAAAAATATCATAATGCGTGCCTGAAAAAACCTGTGATATATTTTTGCCAAATTTTCCATATATATATATTGTCAATTTTGAATGTCTTAATACATGGCTAATTAAGCGTGTGTGCAGTGAAAAGTCTGTTCTCAAGGCAGTATTAAGGTCGTGAGCGCTGGTTTATTCTGGTGTGTGCTATTTGAAGGAGCTTTCACTCAGTGAACTTTCTCCCGTACACATTAACTAAGGATTGTTTGAGGCATATTTGCTGAGGTCTTGCAGCGTTACTGCAGGGCATCGGCATCCGTGGCATGCCATCTTTGGTTTGTCCCCAAGAGCGCTGAGAGCCGTACATGAACATGCTCGGAATTCTAGCTATGTTTTTTTTTTCTTTCTGTAAACTTTCCAAATTAGGCTGCGTTTTCCGATGTAAAACCAGGATTCTCAAGTCCCCTGTGACCTCACATCTACATGAAGTACATTTTTCTGGCATGAAGAGTGACAGGCCTGTTTTCCTGGCTCCTTCTTTAAATATGTATGCTTCACGTTCTAAACATTGAGCCTCATGCTAAATACTGGGACTGTTCACTCTTTGATCACCGATCATTGATTTTAAGTAATTGATTTAAATAACATATACTCAACAGTTCTTTCTGGTCCTTGAATCCAAGATATGTGGTTTATTAATATAGATAATGTCTATTTGAAAATGAGTTTCGAGGTTTTCAGAGATGTGAGCTCCAGACCGTCAGTTTAGCGCTCAGGAACCCGCTGAGAGCAGCCTCACCTCGGCCAGATCTTCTGGAATTTACTGCTGGATCTGATGTCTCTATAGTGGTTTAACATGAGATATAATTCGTTTTGGGTAAATCTAATGGCCAGTCTTTGATCTCATTAATCTATGATTTGTTCCAGAGCAAAGAGTTTTCAAATAGCAAAATCTCATCACGTTGTATTTTACATAGCCTAACTTTAATGTTGTATATCAGAGTGCCTTCTTTGTATTTTTGACTGAATTGCCTAGCAACTTTGATCATGGCTATTGTTGTTTATTAAAGCTGCAACTTTTTTTTGGTTTAAAATGATCCAAAATCAATATTTGAGCAAGTACATAACCAGCCAGTGTTCAAAACTATCGCCTTACTTTAGTCCGATTCACAACGGTCAGCTTATAATAATGTTTTCTAATTTGAGTGGTACGGGTAGGTTTTCGCGGGAAATGAGCATTACGTCACGTCTGTAAACATAAAGAAGTAGTCCCGGCTGCTAGGCTATCACATGTGAGGATCCTGCAGCTGGCGGATCGTTTATAGCCTTTTCTCACAGCAGCTAGAATAATTAAATGTCAAAAAATCATTTTGATGGCGGATTGTAATTCAGAAAGGATTATATGAAACAAATGTGAATTAAATTAAATTATTTAAAAATGTGCGTCTTATTACAGATAGCCTGGGATTACACACGGGGAAATGAGCATTACGTCACGTCTGTAAACATAAAGAAGTAGTCCCGGCTGCTAGGCTATCACATGTGAGGATCCTGCAGCTGGCGGATCGTTTATAGCCTTTTCTCACAGCAGCTAGAATAATTAAATGTCAAAAAATCATTTTGATGGCGGATTGTAATTCAGAAAGGATTATATGAAACAAATGTGAATTAAATTAAATTATTTTTAAATGTGCGTCTTATTACAGATAGCCTGGGATTACACACGATTTGTATTTTAAAGACAAGCAGTTCGAAGGGAGCATAGTTTGCTTTTTGGGTTAAAATAATTTTTTGGTATGAAATTCAAAGAGTATGACAATTAGAGATTAGACTGCAGAAATTGAAATCTACACACACACTACTCATAGTCACGCAATGCTGATGTTGTTAACATGAATAATCTGAGAATAAAGTATAATAATAATTTGCCAGGTTTGATGTGATATGAGCTAATCGATCGTTAGATTTAATCACCGTTGGGAGCACGATTTATTTTAATGCTTTTTTCCTCAGTTGGTCAGAACAAACGTGGCAGACTTGCTACTTACTTGTTCAGATGACAATATCCGGTGAAAATGCTTATTTGGGTCATATATTCCAAGACGTAGGCTAGAATCTGTGATTACTAAGTATAGGATTCACACCGGTGCGGCTACTGACTGCCACACATACTCCTCCTCAAAACATTAGATTAATCTGCGCTGGAGCCGTGCCAGAGCACAACCCAATAGCTGACACTATTCATACATAGTGTCAGCAGAGGCCACTAAAAACAACAAAACATGCTAGGGCTGGGTAAAAAAAACAAACAAATGAAATACATTTCTCGATTTTAATAGATTCTCATTTTTATGAACCAATATCAATCCTTAAATGGGTGGTTGACATATAAGCCTGAAAATGTTTTTTTTTTCATACAAAATATTGAGCTGTGTTGTACTGACTCTTGAATTTCCCAAAAAATATGTGGTCTTTTAGATTTTGTATTGGAAATTGGATTTATTTACCAATTTATTGCATTTGTGCCTAAAATTGTTATATGGTGTGACATAAAAGTTATTCTATATAAAATGAAATTGGGATATACTCTCCCTAAGTAACTAACTTCACCATAAAACTTTATCATTACTATCTTAAGATTTAACATTATTTTGTGCAGATCCATTAGATTTTGTATTATTTTTCTAAATCATCATGCAGAGTAAGACATCTCTCATCAGCCCTGTTATAAAATGCTTGTGAATCTTGCTGATACTATTTATTTTTTGTTCCATTTACTTTTTTAAGGTTTATAACAAAAAAGTATTTTATTGCCACAATTCTGATTGTCACACCAAATGATATAGTGTCACACTATATGATGAAATGCACCACACCACAATTTGTCAATGCAAAAAAGTGTATTTTATATGCATTAAACATTCAATGAATTCAATTCATTTAACATTAATAAAACTAAAAATCATCAAACATACCAACATTGTTTTAAAACTTTTAAAAATGTATTTATGAAACTCAGAAATATGAGTAAATCAAACACCATCTC